CCCCCCCTTCTCAGCAACCCTTAACAGTAAAATTCCTCAAGAAGAGTCATCTATACCATTGGTTCTCAAAGTCTGGTCTGGAGTCCAGGAGTCCATGAAGCCAAGCCTTTTCATAATAACACTAGGACATTATTTGCCTTTTTCACTTTTATTCTCTCCTAAGCGTACAGTGCAGTTTTCCAGAAGTTACACGATGAGTGGCATGGCACCAGCTTATGATGCAGAAACAAATACGAGGATCCAGCTGACTACTAAGGCAGATATTAAAGAGATTTGCAAAAATATAAAATGATGCCACTCACTAAATATTTTTGATTTTGAAGTTATTTTTCATAAATTATGATACTTAATATTAACATGTAACCAATTTATTACTTATTCATTTGAAAGGAATATATAAACATTTCAGTTTCAATTTCTAATACCACAAATATCCATAGATATAACCCTAAGCAAAAGCTCTCTCGAGTCCTCAATTTCAAGAGTGCAATGGGGTCTTCAGACCAAAAACTTTGAGAAGCATTGGTCTATTCTCTCACTGTCTCCAGTCCCTCTCCTTTCATTCCCTCTCAAATACACTCGAGTTAGGGGTCTCCCCCATTACGTGCCACCAAAATTGCTATGAGCACTAAAGACTTCCCAAATGCTAAATCCCATGGTTAATCCTCAGTCCTCATCTCACTCAACCTACTGGCACATGGGCCATGGGTGACTACTTCCTCCTCCTGATGTCTTTTTCCACCTGGCTTCCAGGACACCATACCCAGGTCTCCTCTCTCTGGCTCATTTCCTTCTCCCCAGTCTCAATGTTGGATGGTCCAGAGCTGAGTCATTCTTTGAAACCTTCTCTATACCTACTCTAGTACCTTGGCTGTCTCTAAATTTCTATCTCTAGACCAGATCTCACCCCTGAACTCCAGACTCATCCAATCACCTACTCTACCTCCGTATATGGATTCTAAATAGGCATTTCAAACTTTCAGATGACTAAAACCTAACTTTTCTCCAGCCAAAACAGTTCCTCCCAACGTCCTCCCCATCTCATCTGATGACAACTCTATCCTTCTAATGGCTTCCAAGGCCAAAATCTTGGAGTCATCCTTAATTCCTTTCTCTCATACCTTACCTTCAATCTAGCAGGAAATCCTATTGGCTGACTTCAAAATTCTCCCCAAACCCAATCACCAGTTGCCCTGCTCCACTGTTCAAAGCCCCCCTTCTCTCTCCCTGGGTTAGTACAGTAGCCTCCCACCTTATCTCCTCACTTGCCCCCCTACAGTTTACTGTCAACACAGCAGTCACAGTGATCCTTTCAAAAGATCCGGTATCACACAGCTTCAAACACACCAATGGCTTTCCATCTTAATGACAAATAAAAGCCAAAATCCTCCCAGTGGCCTCCAAGGCCTACTCTAGATGACTGCTAGTTACCTTTCTAGCCTCTTCCTCTATACTCTTCTCCCTGCTCACGCTATCCAGCCTTCAAGCCTTTATACTGTCTTTTCCCTGTCTGGGATGCTCTTTCTCCAGATCCTCATGACTCACCCCCTCAACTCCTTCTCTTTGCTCAAATGTCGCTGTCTCAAGGAGATCCACCCTGACCTCCATCGAAAAGTAAACCTCTATCCCCCACCTCCCAGCCTTCTGATCTCCCTTATCCTGCTCTACATTCCTAGAGCACTTTCTAACATATTACTTATGTTTACTGTCTGTTTCCCCAATAGAATGTCTGTTTCCCCAAAACGACTGCAAGAATTTTTGTCTGTTTTATTCACTAATGTATCTTCCGTGCCTGAAACAGTCCCTGGCAAACAGTCTCCCAATAAATATACTGAATGAATATATGGAATTAACTTCTCCATCTATAAATCTTGGTGGGAGGGAGGGGAGTCTGGACTCAATAGTTCTTCCCAACTGCAGCCTTTTGATCCTCTAACCAGCCAGCCAGAGCTCATCTACACCACACTGATTTGAAGCTTTTGGCACAGACATGGGCCCAGGCCCACAACTGTACGTGCCCAGCTGGAACAGGGCAGGACAGGCTACGGTCAAATAGGCACCAACTGACCAAGTACTGTCCTGATCAGCTGTCAGAGCCTGGGACACTTAGCAGTAACTATGTTCCTAACCTTTTCTCAGCTCAAGGTCACCTACCTCTCCTACCTACCTGAAGAAATCACTCCTATTCAGCTCAAACTTTGCCCTGCAAAACCGCACAAATCCCAAGTGTGGGTGTTCAAATGGGAGCCTTGATCTCAACGGGTTGCGACAACCCCACAATCCTAACACAAATTCAGGTCCCTCTTCCAATGACAACCTCTTCCTACTCCAGTGAAAACCTGAATTCTAGGAGTTTTTTTTTTTAAAGTGGGAAAGATAAGATGGAAATGGGAAGTGACAGCATGAACCACAATTAAAACACTGTCTAGCCAACTCTTGTGGGGCTCTAACATGGTACCACCCCAAACCTAGCTTTAGGGAGCTCTATTCTCTTACTCACTGGGCAGTAGGACAAATTGGTCTGACACCAGGAAGGTACTCAATAAATGTCTGTGGAATGGAAGAATTAAACCTAGTGACTCATTCCAGAAATAAGTTCACAGAGAATAATACAGATGTAACCAGGCTCAACTCAGTATTAACCAACTCCAACTAGAAATCTGAGGGTTGGGGCCGGCCCGGCGGTGCAAGCAGTTAAGTGCACGCGCTCCGCTTCGGCGGCCCAGGATTTGCAGGTTCGGATCCCAGGTGCACACTGATGCACCGCTTGTCATGCCATGCTGTGGTGGCG